TGCCCCTAACCTGGCTTCAATCCACACAAAAAACGCATCAATCCAAGTTTGGTGATGCTTTAAACGTGGGCTAGCTGGTTCAGCTAGGGGTATAGGCTAGAGCAGTGGTTCTCAAGCAGGGGTACACAGATGTCTTCCAGGGGTACATCAACTTATCTAGATATTTGCCTAGTCTTACAATAGGCTACATAAAAAGAACTAGTGAAGTCAGCAAAATTAAAATTTCATATAGACAATGACTTGTTTATACTGCTCTGTATACTATACGGTGAAATGTAAGTACAATATTTATATTCCAATGGCTTTATTTTATAATTATATGTTAAAAATGAGAAAGTAAGCAATTTTTCAGTAATAGTGTGCTATGACACTTTTTTGTATTTTTATGTCTGATTTTGTAAGCAAGTAGTTTTTAAGTGAGGTGAATCTCGGGGGTATGCAAGACAAATCAGACTCGTGAAAGGGGTACAGTAGTCTGGAAAAAACTGAGAGCCACTGGGCTAGAGCTCACATGCTGCTTTTACTCAGGCCACAGTGAGGTTGTAGGCTAAACCACTTGAGTGCTGGTAGTCCTTCAGTGCCTTCCCACAATTTCCCGGTGCCCAGAAGGACAGACTAGTTCTCCCACAATTACCTGAGAAAGAACCATACAGCAGCTCAGCTTATGGTAGCACTAAGAACTGTGGGATATGCCCCAGAAGTCTTAGGAACACCATCTAATCTGGGTGTGTGTGGCATCAGTGAGAACACAGTAACTTGAGTATGGCCTTTCAGTATGGCTCCTTGCACCTGAGCTAGGCTAACTCAGATTCTGAACATCGGAGTTAACTCTGCAGTGAAAATATACCCTTTGTTATGACAAAATGTTCAGAAAAGAGGGTTTTTTCTCCTGATCTTTATTCTGTCGGAGAGATTTACTTTTAATGTTCCTGTCTTTTGTTCTAAGTGTGTAGTTGGAGACAAGAAAATGTCAAGAACTCAGTCAAAGCAGCTTTAAGCAGAGCTGTGATATACCCAGTGGTGTCTATAGACAGCAAACATGATTGCTGTTCTCTTCTGCCTGAGGGAAGATCCTGACTTCATTAGCTAAGAAATCTATTTGAGGATAATTCATTGAGCCAAGAAGAGCACTTTTTTGCTGCTCTTGCTATCCTTAATACTTTGTTTCAGACCTATAGAAAGCATGTGTGATAGGTCTCTAATGAGTACAGGAAGGCTTCCAAGGATTGAAATTTTCATTTATTTGGGGTGACTATTCTCTGAAACTATTTAAAAGTTCTCAGTTTCAGCTTGATCGACTCCTTTAAATTACTTCTTTGAATATGCTGAAGAATTGAAATGGCAGAGCTGAAGTGTAGAACTGAGACACTGAAGAGAGCTGTGGTGCATCACTATATTTTTACTCTGGTGCCAATACACCAGTCAGGCACAGTGGAGCCTCTTGGAAACAGTAACGTGTACAGAAAAGGTGATCAGTTTTTTCTTTCTAGTTTGCATCTGAAGAAGTGTGGTTTTTTTACTCACAAAAGCTTATGCCCAAATAAATCTGTTATTCTTTAAGGTGCCACCGGGCTCCTTGTTGTCTTTCTAGTCTGTCTTCCTCCCCCTCTCTTTGGAATGTTCTTGAGCCTTTTACAAACAACAAACCTGACTTTAGCATATCTGATGAGCCAGACTACCTGTGGGTATAGGAGATAACCTGCATGGCATGTGGGTTTTGTGGAATCTGTTCCAAAAGACAGGGTGGGTGGTTCTGATGATCTCAGTGCAGTGTGTTTTGAGCCAGGAAAGCTTACTTAGGACTCTAAGCATTCTGGATACAGTGGCTGCATTGTGACAGGTAGCTGTTCTTCATTTCAGCTTTGTTGATGCAGTAGCATTAATGGTTTTGAAACCTTCTGCAGAAGTAGAAATGATGTTGATACTGATTTATGTCAGTACAACCAGACTCTTCTTCTGCATGCTGGCCTGAGAAAGAAACTAGTGGCGAGAGAACAGGAGCTAAGAGAAGCCACCTCTTCTTTTCTCCCCCAGTGCCCATGAATTTCTGCCATAGTTAAGGCTCAGTCTGATAAGCTATATGCCTTAGCACGCAACTCCCGTAATTCCAACTGTAGAAAGTCACACCGGTTAGTGAATGTAGTGCATCCCCCCTCTGTGCCTGATGAACAGACAATGTGGGTCTGTATAGCCCCCCAGCTACACAGTCTAACTCTTTAGCTCAAGCTGTAGACTCATGCTTTTTAGCTTCGGAGGTCCTTGTTCAATCCATGCTGTTGGCCAAGATGGTGAAAGTTACAATGGCACTTAGCAGATTCAAATTCCTGGAGGAGAGAAACTTGAACAGTAAAGGACTGAAGACTTCTAGGCAATGTGTAAGGACAGCCTTTGCTGCATGTGAGAGTAGCTGTATCCTTAAGGAACATCTAGGCTTGCATAGATGTGAATTTCAGGTTTTCAGTAAGAAATGCAACAAAGCTCAAGACCTTACATCTAGTAACAAAGAATGTATGTCACCATGCATTCCATCTTGTAAATGTATCATGGAATGAATACATGGATGCTGAAATAGACATAGGAGTTGTGGTGGATATATACTTGAGCATGAATTCCCAGTGCAGCTCTGCAGCTAAGAGGGAGGTGGTATTACCTCTGCATTTGACTTTAATGACCTCATTACTGGAATATATTTTCCAAGGGAATGTTAAAAGCTGACTCGATCAAGGTCTATAAGTACCTACCTAGGGAAAAGATTTCTGATAGTAGATCTCTCTTTAAGCTAGCAGAAAAAGTCATAATGACTTCCAATGATTAGAAGCGGAGTCTAAACAAATTTAGACTAGAAATAAAATGAGAATTGTTAGTACTGCTGGTAATTAATTATTGGGAACAACAACAAAAGATATGGGCTTGATGCACTAGTTCAGGGATTGGCAACATCCCTGGTCCCACGCCGCTTCCTGCAGCTCCCATTGGCCTAAGTGGCGAACCGCGGCCAGTGGGAGCCGCGATCGGCTGAACCTGCGGATGCAGCAGGTAAACAAACTGGCCTGGCCCGCCAGGGGGATTACCCTGGCGGACCACATGCCAAACATTGCCGATCCCTGCACTAGTTACTGGGTGAGATTCTAAGTTCTGTGTTATTCCTGAGGTCAGACTAGATTATCATAATGGCCCTTTCTGTCCTTAAAGCCTATGAATTGAATCTGTTTTGGGATGGAGGGATTTTACTGTTTAAAAACATTTTTTTCCAGTGTTTAATTTGGAGGGGTTTATTGGTGTTCATTTACATAGCTGGTTAATTTCTTGTATACATATACTGTTAACACTAGACTATGGATTTAAAAAAACAAAAACAAAATAAAACTTTGATTTTATGTATGTATGTTTTATCCATTTCCCCCCCCATCCTTCATGTGTTGCTTGCCATCTTTAATTGAAAGATCTTTGAAGCAGGGCATTTGTGTTTTCATGTGTGTGGACAAAAGCTAGAATGTTGTGGGTGCTGCAAGATACAAATAATAAACAATAATGAAATATATTATTCAAAATGGAAATCAGGGACCTGAACCAGAGCCCAGTGAAATTAATGGGAGTCTTTCCATTTACTTGAGTAGGGTTTGAATCCGCTTCCAGGAGAATACAAAGATTGTTAAAATCCCTAATTTGGGTATATCCTCAGTGAAATTCCTCATATGCAATATCGCTATAACATTATCAAGATAAAACTATCTAAACAACATTTGAAATACAATAGGGGGCAAAGAAGAAAGAAAATAACTAATTTGCCAGTAAACTAATACAAATCAAATATAAATAAATTCAGTGTTGTCGCAGTATTACTGAACTGTGTTGTCTAGATCCTCAGCTGATGTAAATGAGCACTGATCTATTGATTTCAGTGGAACTAAGCCAGTTTACACCAACTGAGGATCTGGTCTAGTATGGAAAATTTGAAAATATGCTACATTTATGACAGGAATCTGATTCCGCCGAAAGCTGCTTTTTTGTTCTCTCAGTTATTAAGGTATTGCCTGCTTTTATTTTTAATTTCTCATTTAAGAACTGTTATCTATGCATAGGAAAGACTGGATTTTTTTTGGTAAATGTTGATAAACTGATTTCACTGTTCACACACAAACGGATGAAAAAATATTTCCATCGATAATCGAAATTTACTGATGGGCAAAGTAAGAAAAATGCTGCTAGAGAACTTGTTAGAGTTTGATTTAAGGCTGTTTATTTTGTATATTTTGGTATATGATGTTGACAATTTGTATTTTAACAGTTATAAAGCTTTAATTTTTTGAATCTCAGCATCTATTGTCATTAAGGAATTATTGTCTGACCCCCGGATAATTTCCCACAATTGTGAAAATTTAAATAGATAAAAAAATCTTTAAAAATGCTTAACATCAATATAATCTGCTGAAATTATATTTAAAAAAAATAAAAAAAAAATCTGCCAAACCAATCTATGCCTTACAATAATTCCAAATCCCTGGAACTTTTTAGTCTCTCTAAAAATGGGTAGCTAGTGCAATATCTTTAGAGAAGATACTTACTTACTTTCTCTCCATGTCTTAAAGGGTGGATGGGGCATTATTTTTACGCAGTTTACCTCCCTGAGCATGCTTGTTCAGTAGTGTGGTTAAAATGTAAAATTCATGGCTACCAATATGAAAGGTAGTTTGGGCACTAGCCTTCCTTCCAAGAATGAGTACCTGTAAAGCAGAGGCATTTTGGAGAACATACAGTATGGTGAGCAACCTTATTTTGCTGGTTCTTTGTTACTTTGTCGTATAAAGAAGTTTTTCATTGTATAATTAACAAATCATTCCTTTGTTCACACTTTTAAGTAATCATGTAAACTTTTGGCAGATATCAGTGACACTAGTCATCTTTTCTTTTAAAGTTATTCATTGACTAGGCTGTGGTATGCTCATAAATATGGGCGGGAGGAAGGAAGTTTTACTTTGATTAAAATGTTTGTGTTACAGGGAAGCTGGGAGAAGCGAATTCTGAAGAGTCTAAATAGCATGTGCACAGAACTCAGTATCCCATTAGCACGAAAGGTACTGTGTTTATTAATTTAACTTTTTAAAGTGAATGCAGAGCTTGTGCCACCTTCACATCTTTGGAAACTGTGGTCCTGATACAGCGAAAACTTATCTTATGCAAACTTTATACATAAGTAGTTCCATTGATGTCAGGAATTGCAGGATTAGGGCCTAAAGTCTTCTGGGACAAACAGATAGCAGAGATAGTGGTAGTGTGAGAGTATCCCCACCAGTGTGCCTCAATTGTACTCTGGAAGGACCACCTTGGGAATGAAGGGTGTTGATAAGTCTTTCTCTCGCTGTTGCAATCATTGGCCTCTGTTGGGAATACCGTATTGGAGAGCCAATTGATGGGGATTTATTTATTTATTTATTTTGTATGATGTGGACAGTAGTACACACAGACTGGATTGAGACCACTGACTAACTTCACATCGGACACTGAAAAACCAATAATTACATTGACATACTTTCTTTGCTGATTGGGGCCAGAGTTGAACTTGTGACCTTGGAGTGAAAGGCTCAGTATTTCACTATCATCACTTCCCTTTGTCATCCATTGCTCACTGACATCTTTATGTTTCAAATCTCTGTAAATTAATAAACAGAGCAGAATTGGCAAGTATGTATTATAGGGCAAATCTTCCCTGTCCCTCTCCCCTAAAGCCTGGTAGCTGGCAGAATTGCTGTGGTTTATTGTACAAGGCAGAGGACAAAGCTGTGAGGAGGAACAGAGAAAGAAATGCGGAGGAATCTACACCCCTTTTGTGTAACTGAGCTATACTCTTCAGGGCTTCTGGCACCGTGAAGAGGGAATTTGGTGGCAGCACATGGGTGGTGCAGGGTGAATCCTCAGATACATAGAACTGCCAGCCAAACATAGCAAAGGGTTCAATAGCAGATAGTGTGTCAGAACTACCCCATGAAGTGAGGAGGGGGATTCCAATCCTTACTTGGATTTAGTGCAGTAGAGAGAATATGGCCTAAGGCTAATGCTAACTTATAAAGTCTCGTGCATGCTATTTTTTTAAAAGACTAATTTTCATCCATACAGGAGATGGGTGTATTTTAGATTTTTAGCTGCTTAATTAAAAAAGACAATTTCTTTTCTTATGACTTACAGAGACCTATAGGAGAGCAAAAAGAACTTTTTAATAAATGGAATGAAATGGGAACTGATGAGCCAGGTATGCTAAATAAAATGTGTCTTTTTATGTAGCAGCAAAGCAAATGCATATTTATCTCCTTATTTATCAGTCGGGGATTAAAGTAGTATCCATTGTAAAGGCAACTAGTTCCTGTTCTTTATTTTTTCCCTAGTTTGCAGTGCGTGGTAGCTCACAAATACCTATTCACTGTATTTATTTATTTGAAGAGTTATTGTTTGGATTTTTGAATCTACACCTGCAGTCTGTAGATATATTCTCTTACATACTAATACCTAGAGAATTTGGAGAGGTAGCTCAAGTTAGTAGTAGTAATGGGAGCAGTGCACTAATTGAAAGAAAAACATCATATTGTTTACTTTTTGTGTTATTTAATTCTTAACAATTTTCTCTTACTCACATAATGTATTTTTTCAATAGCTAAAAGTGAAACAGCTAATCAATATATAGAAATTACATTCTGTACAGTTTCATAGCTAATGATCCTGTTCAGATCAACCAGGGCTTGAAGCAAGCTAGCAAACCCCAAATACATGTATTGTCTTGCAATGTGAATAAAACTGGATAATGACTTGAAAATTTTCATGGTCTGAACTGCAGTTTCATGACACTTTAATGTATAGATGTACTGCTGGGGAGAGAAAAAAATAAAGTGACGATGTATTTTTACTTCACATTGGCTTTGAAGCTGTTTAAACTTCTATAATTTAAGAACATTCCAAGTATATCCTTTGTGCTTTAATTTTTGTGTGGAATAACAGGGATGTGTTTTATATTGCACCAATTGGTCTTTTTGTAAATCAGTGATCATTAAATAGCAGGTTTATGAAATACCTGATTATGGTTGCTGTGTGTGACATCAATTAGTGATTCTTTTATATACTGATGTGAACTTTCTAAATGTAACTGTTCATAAAATCTCATTGTCATGATGTATTATAGGGACAGTTACATTGTGTCAGAATTGGAAAAAACTTCATATGTATTGCCAACCTTTATAAAATTTTAATTTAAATAAAGCATTCTTTAAATCATGTTAATTTCAGATCTAAGTCTCTTCCGACCTGTTTATGCACCTAAAGATTTTCTTGAGGTAAGCATTAATGAAATAACCAACCAGTCATTGAGTTACATCCTTTATAGTTAGCTATTTAAAGTGGAACCTGTGCATGGTAAGTCTTCAATAGATGGATAGGAAATAGAAATTAATTTTCTTCTTAATAAGGTAAACTGAATCAACACACAAATCATTGTCCATTAAATAATCAGTTACAAAGCTGCTTTAAAGAATTGATGGTACATTTATAAATTTATAAGAAATTATCATATCTAATGGGCCGATAAGACTAACTATTAACTGCCAATGAATTACATTTAACCTCGTATTGGTCATTGAAAACTTTCTTAAAACTTGAAACTTTTTCAATTCCTGTTAAGCAAAGGAGCTTCTTGTGTTTGAAAAATGTCAGCTAAAAATGTTTAACTTGGCTTACTAATCAGGACTTTGAAGCAATAGGAAGTCATGCACATCAGATCCCTGAAATAGGGTGTTTATTACTTTAGTGCTCTTTGCCTGAGAATTTAAGTTTGTATTAAAATAAATAAATTTCTAACATTTTTCTATTGTAAAGTGGCCTTTCGAATGTGAACAGTGTGTCTGTTGCTTTGACAACCTAGCCTTATGGATCATGGATGGGGAATCATGCTGAATTGCACTTATTATGGAGGAGAGATTGCTGGTTCATCCTTTTAAAAATTTTCCTTTTTATTGCGTCTATAATGGAAAGCCTCAAATTCTCTGAAATGTTAGAGGAAGAATCCTGTGGGACTAACTCCCGCTCGCTTTATTAACATGAACAGTTACATTGCTTCATTATTAATTTCCAATTGCAGATTGGTGTAATATTACTTGAAGTAGGTTCACTGTGGTAAATAACAGTGTCATGTGAAGATGAAATTTTGGACTATCTACAAAGATTATTCAGATCTTTTATAAAACTGAAAGCAATACAGAACCAAAGATGAAAGATGGGGAGTCTCCTGATAGCTGGAAATACTTGAGGCTTTTGTCTGTGACCAAAATAAAAAGTTGAAAAATAAAACTAGCTCACTGCTAAGTCATTAAGGCCAGAATTGCTCAGTTTTAGTTGTTTTTTTTTTTTTCCATAATTCATAATACTGAAGGCTGTAATTAAAATTATGTCCAGGCTCTGTTGCACAATAGAGATCGCTGGTGACTTGTTAATAATGACAATATGTAGAAAGCTATTGCTTATGAAAATACAATACAAAAATCAATGACTGTATAATACTCTGTCAGCTGTTGATGAAACAAATTTGTCTAGAACCTTAGATAATGTAGGTAGGGAGCAAGAAATTAAATTTAAAAGGAAACACAGCAATATGAATCATAATCAGCAAATTTAGTATTTAAAATGATTTAATATACATTTAAAGGAATATCTTTTGCAGTGATATGAGATGTAGCATATTTGTAACTTTTGCTTGGATAAATATGAACTGTTATGGTTTGGAACTGTGAATGTTAAAAGTGAAGTATTCTAATTTACATATGCAAGTGAGATTAATTTAACACGTTTGTACAATTGGTAATATCAAACTATAAATTTATTAAATGTAAGGGCTTCTGGATGCCATAGTTGTGCTAATTATAAATGTAACACTTATCTGTAATTCAATCTAATTATATCTGACTTGTATTTTGACCTTATTTTAACTACTCTTAGGGCTGGTCCACACTAACCCCCCAGTTCGAACTAAGATACGCAACTTCAGCTACGTGAATAACGTAGCTGAAGTCGAAGTACCTTAGTTCAAACTACCAGGTACTTACCGCGGGTCCACACGCGGCAGGCAGTCTCCCCCGTCGACTCCACGTACTCCTCTCGCAGAGCAGGAGTACCGGCGTCGACGGCGAGCACTTCCGGGATCGATTTATCGCGTCTAGACAATACGCAATAAATCGATCGATTGCTTACCGCCGAACCCGGAGGTAAGTATAGACATACCCATAAAGTAGTGTTTATTTTCCTCTTGTTTTCTGTTCTTTCCTTTTCCTCTTGTGTCCCATAGTCTGTCATTTCTCATGTTACTGTATCAATGAAGGGCCTGATCCTGAGAGTAGTCCCATAGAAGTCAAGAGGGACTAGTCACATGAATTTGGATTAATCAGATGAGTGAGGGTTGCAGATTTAGGATTTTAAGGAGGCATTTCCTTATAGCAGTGGTTCTTAACCAGGGGTATGTATACCCCTGGGGGTACACAGAGGTCTTCCAGGGGGTACATCAGCTCATCTAGATATTTGCCTAATTTTATAACAGGCTACATAAAAAACACTAGCAAAGTCCGTTCAAACTAAAATGTCATACAAACAAAATGAGAAATTAAGCAATTTGTCAGTAATAGTGTGCTGTGATACTTTTGTATTTTTATGTCTGATTTTGTAAGCAAGTAGTTTTTAAGTGAAATGAAACTTGGGGTACGCAAGACAAATCAGTCTCCTGAAAGGGGTACAGTAGTCTGGAAAGGTTGAGAACCACTGCCTTAGGGTCTATCTGCATAGTGGGGAAATGTGCCCGATGGGGGTGTTGTTTCTAAAGAACACTAACACGTTGTGCATTAATCTGTCCACATAGACCTAGCTGTTGCATCTTGTAGGTGCTCACATACATTAAAGCACATCTTAGTGTGCACCAGGGGATGTGTACATGGACCAATAAAATGTGCAATACATTAATGCGCTTTAGACATCATTCCCCCATAGGGCAGGTGTAGACAAGCCCTTAGGCCTGGGACCGTGTCTTATTTGTAAAGTTTCATGTATGCTCTTTTTGTTTTTTTTCCTTTTCCCAAAGCCCTTTGGCTACACTTTGGAAAAAGTGGGGCAACACCTTACTAAATTCAGCCTCATGTCCCTTCAGTGCAGTGGGGGATGGCTCTTCAGGGAACCATGAGCTAAGCTGGGAAAGTACAAAGACTCCTTGCTTGTTGGCCAATTAAAATGCCAAAATCCATGGCCACGTAATCACAGAATATATGGGATCCTTGGTCAGATGAATAGGGCAGTTTACAGCTCTCAAAGCTGTGATTTCAGACCCTGTAGACTAAGTCACTCATCAGTTTGCTCTTGTTTTATGTTATTAGTGTTAGAGTCGCCACCATAAGGACTAGAAATATCTTTTTAAAAAATGAAAGTTGAGATTCTGGGCCACTATTCTGTGGCAAGAGGTGAATCCTGTGGCATATTGTTTAGCAGTGGAATTTCAGAATACATAAGGCACTGGGTATCAGAACACTAATAGAATAGCTCATTTAAAAAAAAATGCAGATCAGTATCCTAGAGCCATTGAGGAAGGTACTATTAGCTTTCAGGTACTGTTTGATAGGGAAACTAGTGTTAATTAGGACATAGAGTATGATTTTTTTCAGTGCCTCGGTTTTGATTTTCAGAGTGGGAGTTAAGCACTTTCTCAAAATCAGACCCCTTTATGGATTTTGAAGTTGGCTGCCCAAAAATGTAGGCCTTCACCTGGGAGTTGGAATGCTGCAGGAAATAGCACTACGTTTGTGTCTAAGCACAATTTGTGACACTGATACTGTTGGGCCACAATCTCAAGTTTAGGTATATACACAGGGAATGACAGATTATATTCTTTTTTTAAAAGGTACTGATGAATCTGCGCAACCCAAATTATGAAAATGGGGATCAGCCTAGTTTCAGAAATCACCTGGGTCTAATTCAGGTTCCTCTAAAAGTTAAAGACATCCCTGAACTGGTAAGTATAGTTGTATTTGTTCTTATGTTCTCTTAAAATAAGTCTCTGTTTTTTTGTTTTTTTTAAAGTTTCTCTGAGAATTGTTTTGGCTGACTAATCTATAATATACTAGACAATAAAAAGGAATCTTAATTAGTTAATAGGTTTGTTTTTAAAAGAAGTGAATAAGGATGTACAATAGGTCAGTAAATAAAATGTAACATGTGGAAAAGATTTATTAAAGGAACTTCTTAATGAAAAAGAAATACAGAATTGAAAAAGGAACATTTCTTCCTACCCCAGTTAGTTAGTGGTTGGATTTTGCACCTTAAAACATGGTAGTATATTTTCTTTATATAATTTTCCTACCTAATGTAACTGAATGTTTATATTATCTGTTAAATAATACTCCTTTTCTGGACCCCTCTGGACTCTTACCCTCAGTTACAACTTGTGGCAATGAGTTCCACACCAGGTGACCAAAAATCAATGATTATTTTTTTTAATTAAAAAAAGATTTTTTTTATTTAAATCTAAATTTAAATATAGGCTAATTTAAAAAAGCCTATTTAAAATTTAATTTTCAATTGACAATGTATGTTAAGGCCTAAACTACTTATGTCTATCAAACTAATTTAATTTAAATACACAAATAATATTAAGTAGTACATGTGTAAGAGGAGGATGAGATCTAGTTCTAAAATCTTGAAGGACATGGTGACCAGAAACAACAATTAGTTCAATTCAAATACAATTATTGCTTCCTTTTGTTTAATAAATGTTTGTTTGAAATGCAAAACATATTTTGATGAGAGAAAAAAGTTTATGTATCCAACACATTTCAGATAGTTTTATTTAATAAAAGAAACAAAAATGCTGTTTTTGTATATATTTAGTTGATTTGAATTTCCAACCCTATAGAGCTTGATACAACACACAAGTAAAAAGTTAAACTGCTTAAATCAATTGCTTTAATAAATGTCTATAGGTGTAGTGAGTCTCCTGATTAGCAAAAAGAAGCCACAAATTTAGTATAAAGTTGTTATATTTAGTTGTAAGTCAACATGCTTTAATGGTTACCAAACTAATGAGGATTAACCCGCTAATTTTCCCCGTGGGTGCTCCAGCCCTGCAGCACCCACGGAATCAGTGCCTATGTTACTGTGACCAGACATAGTCAGTTTGTGCAGGAGAACTCTCTGCTAGCATACAGCTAGTGGAAGTGGCTCTGACACCAACTATACAAGCCATTCCCTGCAGGGCCAGCTCCAGGTTTTTTGCCACCCTAAGCAAAAGTAAAAAAAGGGGGGGGGGCGCGGTGGAATACCGCCACTGAAGCAAAAACCGGGATGTTGCCCCTTTAAAAGTGCCGCCCCAAGCACATGCTTGGAATGCTGGTGCCTAGAGCTGGCCCTGATTCCCTGTTTCTTCCCTCCACCCCCATGGGGAAGGATTAGGGTGGCCAACTTTCTGATTGCAGAAAACGGAACACCCATGTCCTGCCCCTTCTCTGAGGCCCCGCCCCTTATCCAAGGCCCTGCCCCCCACTCACTCCAACTCCCCTCCCTCCGTCGCTCACTCTCCCCCACCCTTGGTCACTTGCTCATTTTCGCCAGGCTGGGACAGGGGATTGGGGTGTGGGAGGAAGTGCAGGCTCCGCCTGGGAGTGGAGCTGAGGGGCTTGGGGTTCAGAAGGGGGCTTCGAGCTGGGGCTTTGGGATTTGGAGTGTGGGAGAGGGCTTGGGTGTGCTTACCTCAAATGGCTCCCGGCCAATGGGAGCTGCAGAGCTGGTGCTCAGGGTGGGGACTGTGCACAAAACCTCCCTGGCTCCTCCTGCGCCTAGGGGGCTGCAGGGACATGCCAACTGCTTCTGGGAGCCGCACGGAGCCAGGGCTGGCAGGAGCCTGCCTTAACCCTTTTAACAGCCCGGTCAACAGTGTTGACCCGAACCGCCAGGGTCTTTTTATGGCTGGGCGTTCCAGTCGAAAACTGGATGCCTGGCAACCCTAGGAAGGATAGCATGTGTCAGGTACATTCTGGGGACAGGATGTAGGCCAGACAGGGAAGAAAGGGGATGTGGTTTATCTGTTCTGTGCTGCACCTGATTTTACACACACACACACACACACACACACACACACACACACACACACACACACACACACACACACACACACACACACACACACACACACACACACACACACACACACACACACACACACACACACACACACACACACACACACACACACACACACTTCTTGAGGCCTAGAGTAGTGCACCAGTGAATCTGGGAGCCATAATTGGCTCCCTGCAGCTTCTGTCTGTTTTGTCCAAGTTAAGCTCATATGTAGGTGAGAATCAGTGCCTGTAAGTCAAACTGTTTTTCTGTCTTAGAATAAGACTAAGAATCAGAACAAGATTTTTCTTTCTCTTTTAAAATAATTTTACTGTATATGTGTATAAAGTTTTAGAATATAAAAACACATTTAGTTCAAGGATTTTTAATAAAACCTAAACTTTTAAAGAAGGAATCTGTTTCTGCTAGCTCTTAATAATGTGCTTTTAATTCTCTATTTGTATTTTTTTTTTTTTTCAGAAAGACTATTTCAGTGAGCTAGGCTTGAATACAGGACAGCTGGGTATTGATGACTCTACACAAGTGCCTCCAGGTTAGTGTGTGCTGTGCTTTAATAATTTAATTAGAAAAGTAATAAAGTATATGTTTTCATGGAATACTGTGTAATTGTAAGGAAACTCATATAATTTTTCCATAATATTCATAAGTATTTGTCCCAGAGCTATAACTCGAATGGTTCTCATGTAAATAAAGTGGAACATATTTGAACTAGTAGTGGATAACATTGCAAATGTTAAGGGCTTGATTTGAAAGATGTGGAGTGCCTGCAATACCTGTTGATTTCAGATGGAGCGGCAGGTGTTTAAACTCTTTTCAGGATTTTATGTCTGTCAAAATAATTTTTTTTTTTTAAGAAAGTCTCAAGTTACAAATCAAAATTGCTTTGACTAACACAGTTGTGCAGCTGTGACGCCACAGGATTATTGGGAAAATATAGAGCCACCTTTTTGATATCCATGCTCTAGAAAATATTACAGAAAAAAGTGTGTTAATAAGATGTGGTTTAAATAGTACATAATGGTGTTTTATTTCTTGTATGCACACTATTATTTTTGTAGAAAAAGCACTATGGTCTCAAAGAATGGAAAATTATAGGATATAGAGAGACTTTTCAAGTGAAAAATGTTCTGTTTAAAGGTGTTGTGTACTTTTTTGTATTTCTATCCTTCAGTCTAAATTACAGAAGACTATTGCTGCTGATGCTGTTTTAATTGTAGTAACATTAGCCGTAAAAAATGAGTTAAATATGTGTATTAATCTGCAGACATGTATGTTTTGCAGGTGTCAAAATAATCTTCTGTCAAAAATACAAAATGTTACCACAATAATAGCTGAAGTATTTTTGTCAATTCTTTCTTCATTATTTTTGCATTTTATTCATACTTCATTATTTTTTTTAGAACTCTTTGAAAATGAACATGTACGTGTTGGGCAAACAGGTAAGGATTTGATTTCAGCTGCAATAAACTGTGAGGAATTAAGAATATCCTAAATAACCGTCTTCTTCAAATACTCATTCCTGAGAATTTTAGTATTTCACCCATGGTAACACAAAGCACAGTGGATAATGCCATGGATGTTCAGATAAAGGTAGAAAACCTGGCATTTTACATCTACCAATAGGTGCCAGATAAATAACTCTACAGCTGGTTCACTAAAAGCAAAATAGCAAGCATAGACACACACCTTTATGGCAATAGCTTAACCCATGCGACTTTTGAATTTCATTTTAAAATCAAGAGAGCTTGTTCTTCCATCTGTACACACACAATTCTCATTAGTGTTAATGGGATTTATGCTCATGCATCAGATGAGAATATAACCCTAATTCTTTTTGATGGTTATTAATAATTGCTGAACCTGATAAATACTGCAACTCTAAGCCATTATGGATGATTTTCACTTGTTTTTCCACACGTGTACTCCTTTCTGAGTTAGTTGTTATCTTCTTCTTGTATCTGTAGGATGAGAAGTTATCCTTGATTTTAAAACAGAGTAAAAAGTCCTTCATTAGATCAAACCTTGCTAGAGAAGAAACACCCAGTATCTCTTACTATTGTCTTAGGGGTAGACGATAACTGCTCATTATTATTTCCTCCAGCCAGCCTCCCCACTTCAAGGGGCAGACAGCAGGTCTGGTGCACTCCTATAGCATTTTCAGGAAACATGTCCACTTCCCTCTTCCGCTGCTGGGGCTAAGGTGGCAGCGGCATCTCTCCCTTCTCTCTTTTTCTGAGGTCCTTCGTCTCTCTTTTCCTCACCACTCATTCTGTCTTTGTGTAACCAGCTGAGGTACCATCCTTCTCATCCCCCCTTTCCCTATACTTCCTCAATGAATTCCTGTCCCCTGCAAAACAGACTTTTAGTCAACCCCGTATCTTGCCTATGTATTCATGGCTTCCTATCTCTTAACCATTCAGAGCAGCTTCTACCTCCCAACTCTTCTTCTACACCTTGTTTACAGGATGGCATAGAGCAGGGGTCGGCAACGTTTGGCACGCGGCTCGCCTGGGTAAGCACCCTGGTGGGCTGGGCCAGTTTATTTACATGCTGACACTGCAGGTTCAGCCAATCGCAGCCCCCACTCACCGCGGTTCGCCGTCCTGGGCCAATGGGGGCGGCGGGAAGCCACGGCCAGCACATCCCGCGCTGCTTCTCGCCGCCCCCATTGGCCCGGGACGGCGAACTGCGGTGTGTGGGGGGCTGTGATCGGCCGAACCTGCCGCGTCAGCAGGTAAGTAAACTGGCCCAGCCCACCAGGATGCTTACCCAGGCGAGCCGCATGCCAAACGTTGCCAACCCCTGACTTAGAGTGACATGAAGCCATGAGACAGAGTCTTAATCAGCTGTGAAGAAGAGTCTGGGTCACTGACCAGCTTGCTTTCTAGTAGCAACTGTGATGACTGCTACGTGGGAGGTGAAGCCTTCTTTATTATAAAAACAATAAAAAAAACCCCAGCAACATATGGCAGTTGGCCAGAAAAGCTTGGAGTATATAGCAGGACTGAAGAAGGCTTGTGCCTCTAGCTAAGAGATTAAATTAGGCAGATCTGCTTTATATGCAGCCTATACTTGTCAAGTTCTGTATTTCTGTTTTTCTATTTTTTCTCGTGTATTACAGTAGGCTTCTTGAAAAAAAGGCTTGTTTGTCACCAATGCTGCACTATATATTTGGGCACAGATTCAAATCTCATTGAATTCAATGGGAATCTTTTTATGAACTCCAGTGGATCAGGCTTTTGGTCGCCATCTATGACTTGGTTGCCATTGCTGGATAGTCCTTACCTTCATGTCAGTTGTACTGATGTGCTGAGCATTGTTCTCTCCTACAGCCAGCATAACGCATCCCAATTTGTTAGCGAGGTTGTTTCTTGCCTCTGCAAAGAGTGGTAAGATGGAAACACCTCAATCATGTATATTGTTTTGTTCTCTGCTGAGGCTGTCTTCTTTTCCTAAGTTTTTGCATGTAGTGTGGCAGTATTTTATTTTTCCTTTACTGTCTAAGCATTTAGGAAGCCAAAAAAGGTGGAAAATAAAAAAACCCTAAGCCATGAATGCACCATCTATTATAGAACTCTACAGGCCAAGAAAATATTTGGTAAAACAGAGACTTCCAGCAATTCTGGAACAGATGACCCTTTGTTTACTTTGGACCAGCTGGCCACATGATGTGTCCTCCTCTTAAAATATCTTGTTCATCTAAGCATGAATTTGAAGAAGATTGGGAAACAGGCCAGCCAGCGAATGTGGAAAAAGTCTGGTAGGTCTGATTCTCTGACTCCTGAGGTGACTGCAGCTGAACCAGACTTATCTAGCTTCATTCAAGGATTTTGAATTGTATCCTTTTCTGTTCTCTCGTCTTATCACCTCACCTATTGATGTAACCAGGCAGAGTTCATGAAGCACAGTTATTTTGCCTAGGTCTCCAGTGGGGACTTTCAGCATCTTGGGCTATTCCAGCATCCTGGGTCTCTTCACCAAGGAGGAAAGGAGGCATATCCTTTAGGTTTAGTATCCAAATCTTCTTCCGGATTTCTCCCACCATATCACACAGGATGTATGGGAATACTGACATACCTATCGTGAACTTAAGAGTCAGTAAAATTTAGTAAAGCAAGAAGATAGTTTACTTTTCTAAGAAACTCCCCCCAGAATTGCATCTTATTTATTCATCTGTACAAAGAATACAGTGTGAAACCCCTGTATTCCACTATGGTCATAATCTATTGGAGATATTTTAGCATTTATTATTAAGAAAGTTTCCCACATACACATTTTTCTAGCCACCAATATGTTTCAGGTTTGTGTTGGTCTGGTCCACTTCAGTACCAGTCCCTACCCTTTGGCTTAGCTATGATTTTTCCATACTATTATCAAATTGGTCGTGATATTGGTGGCAGAACTCAGCAGTAGTATTTGTGTAATTCTATGCTCAATGGTCCGGACAAAGAAGTTAGAGGCAGTTGACTTGTCTTCTGTGATGAATCATAAAGCATATTCACTCTCTCATAGAAGCTTGCACACTTTGGCCTACTAATAGAGTATATTACAATTTAGTCATCTAATCAGAGACCTAATAGTAAAGTTAAGTCCTCGCAAAAGCAATGTAGCAACCAAACCATTCATCAGCATAATTGCTAATTTGCTTCTTGAGGTTATTGATGTCTTTCCAGGATGTGTGATGCTTTCCAAAAGGCATTCAGCCTGATGATCTGACATAAATGCTCTTTAGTTCCCACTACTCCCATGAAAAACATTTCTAGACTGGAGGTCCAACTATGCGCATAACTTCTATAGGGATTACCCTTATAAGATGCAGAATAGCTAACAACTGACTCCAGGCACAGTTAGGAAACCTGAGTGGGGAAGTTGATAATCTGTTCAAAGTGTGCACGTTAATGTGTTGAAGCTGAAGGCTTTGAGATTCACAGCAAAGCCTGAAGTTTGTCTGCCAACAACAATGCAACACATTCTGCTAAAAACTGACAACAATACAGTAATAGCTTCTGTCAAACTAAAGGAAAGCATGAAGAACAAAGAATTGACTGTACAGTAGAGGGTTGAGCAGAAAGACCCGTGTTTAGCTCTGCTTGCTAATATCAATTGTCTTCTCAATGAGAGCCCTCCTCTTAGAGGTACCGTCCCATTGGCTGACTGTTGCATTAGGGCAAATCAGGGGAATGTACATTGTCCTTTAGGCCCCTACTTATGCTGGGTGGTAAAGCCATCATGCCTAAATTGCAGCACCATCCCAATCAAATGGCTACAGTGCTAGTCCTTTTATTTACATTAGAACTACAATTCTTAGGACAGTTTTTAGAGTGGTGCGTTGGGATTTCAGATGCACAGCATTGGTCTTCCTTAATTAGCTTGATGACTGAGGCTTAGGAATAGAAAGGGATACTTCACACCCTTCACGTGGAAGCCCTCCATTGGTTGAGCTGCTGAATATTGCCCAGTAAGATGCAAGGAAAGACATGTGAAGAGAAGGAAATGGATGATAAACCCTGGGTGAAATCCTGGCTCCATTGTAGTCATTGGGCCAGGAATCACCTATGTGTAAATTCAGAATAAGAAGCACAGTCCTGCTTATAAAGTCCTCCTGATTTTTGTGTGTATTTTTCAAAATAAATGTCCCAGTGTTTCCTTGTTTCCTTTTTGTATGAGAGAGACTGCATCAAACAAATATTAGCAACCCATTGCTCGTAAGTTGCCATATACTAAGGAACTAGCATACTTGGTGCAAGGGGAAAGAAGTAAGGTTAAAATAAATTGATATCAAACTACCATATATACTCGATCATAAGCCGGTTCGTTTATAAGCTGACCCTTCCTCCGCCCCCCAAGATGCATAAGTAAAAATGGAAAATTTTTATGACCTGTTCATAAGCCACCCTATAACTCAGGGGTCAGCAAACTTGGCTCCCAGGCCATCAGGATAGGCCGCTGGTGGGCCGAGATGGTTTGTTTACCTCGAGCGTCTGCAGGCATGGAGGTAAACCTAAGTAAACAAAGTGTCCTGGCGCACCAACTGCTTACCCTGATGGACCTGGACAGCAACTGATGGGGAAAATTTTTGAGGGGGAGAAGCTGGGGGTCAGGGGAGTAACCCCTGTGACCACCCCCCACATGATCCCACCCTTAGCCCGGGACCCCCACACTCTCCCCATCCCATCCACCTTATCTGGGGAGGGCCAGGGGAGGATGTCTATGGCCTGGCTGGAGCTGCTTTGGCAGGCTGGGCAGCGCAGCCGCAGCCTGCTCTGGCTGGCCAGACTGGGAGGGGCGGCCGCAGCATCTTCCAGCGGTCCGGGCAGCGTGGCCACAGGTTGCTTTGGGGGGGCAGGGCCGAGCAGCATGGCTGCAGCCTGCCAGCCCCGGAGCTGCAGCTGCTTCAGAGGCTGGGGGGGAGAGCAGCATGGCCAGAAGCGGAGAGACTCTGGCCCTGCCTCTTCCCTTCTGGCTCTGCTGGTTGTGCTGCCTCTCCTTGCTCCCTCTGTTGGGGGGAGGGGATGTGTCCCACCTCTCCCTCTCTATACCCGTTCATAAGCCGACCCCCTTCTCTGGTGCTTCCCTTTATTACTAAAAAAAATTTGGATTATGAACGAGTATATACGGTAAATACAGTGATTGTAAATGTTTGAAATATATTTTGATATTTTATATAATGTCCCTTTGATATTTATATGCATTACAAGAAGTACACATTTGTAGATGGAGATAGACTTGGGAAGTTCACTTGGTAGAATATTTCTGTTTGATGCAGGGACTTGGCCTGGGTTGTGCTTGTCTTTCCTTCCTTCATCACTTTCAGTGTGTGTAGTTAAAACTTTTAAAAATGACATGACAATTTCTGGAAATGTATGATTTTATGTATGTTATGTAAATTCATGACATATACATATTTTGCAGTTTTAACAGAACAAGATAGTGCTGCAGCCCAACAGTATGTCCGTCAGGGATGCCCAACAGCACTCCGAGCTGAATTGTGGGCCCTCATTCTGAATATTTCTAATCAGCCTGAGGTAAGGGGCAAACCAGGTTAAAATCAAATTAAAATACACCTGGCTATTGAAAAAATAGATGTATGTTTGCTAGTAATGTTTTGCCAATTTTGCTGTTTTGTCACAGAAGTAAACATTTTAAAACCATACTGATTTTTCAGATGTTTAGACTTGTAAGGTTAGTTTGCCATTTTATAAGAATTATATTTGTAGATTTAAATAGTGTGTGCATGTGCGTGTGTGTGTGTTTAACATGCCTGCAAAACAAAAGCCTACATGCATGGATACAAGCTTTCCCACTTAAACCAAAGCTCATTGATTGACCAATCAGAGCAGAAGTATTGTACAGTTAATAAATCAGCCTTGATGAGTGTGTGCATGGGTTAAGCCACAAAACTATAATATAATTTTCCTTACTCATATAAAATTGTGGTTGGTGAGGAAGAAGTAGTAAGCCAAGCATAGTGGTGAATCAGTCTATTTAGACAAAGTGGGTGGCGTATTATAGAAATTGGAAGTTCTAGTCCATAATCTGGTTTAATCCATGTGGTTGATATTAGAATGTTTCTATTTATAGGCTGTGTCCAATGTGAAGATGTTGAAATCTTCTTCTCAAAATAGTAGGGTGGGGCATGGAATATGTGTTTTCAATCTGCATGAAAGACATGGGGTGAGAAGTTAGCTGATAAGGAGAGAAGGAATTACAGAATAGTTTTAGGGATTTTGCATGAGTTTTGCAAACTGCAGCTGTGAAGCAAAGTTAAGGTTTTAAATACAGAGCAAAGGTTCAAAAATAATTTTGAATGTTTGTTTTTAAGTAGTCACAACGTAGACAAACACTTCCTAACTGATAATTAGCAAACATCGCAAAATTTAGGCTAGGGCTTTGTGACCTTAACTGTAAATTAATGTAGATGTTTTAATTTTATTTATGAATTACCAAAATATCTTTATTAATGCTCTTGTTTGAGTGGTAGTGTGGACACTCTAGTCTCTTGTGGCAATCACTCTGTAAGACACAATATGACACAATCTGTTTTTTAATTTATGTATCTGTAATTCTAAATTAATATATACATTTATGCATACACCTTACATGTATGAATTAAGGAACCAACATGTGTACTGTCCTCTCATCTCTTTGCCCAACATTATTTCCCAAAGCATCCTGTATTTGTCTTATTTAACGTAGGCCCTGATACTAGGAAATACTTATGCACATTCTTAGACTTATGCAGCATGACTAGTCCCATTGAAGTCAATAGGGCTATTCATATAAAGTTAAGAACATGTATAAGTCTTTGCAGAATTGGAGCTTTATATTGTAAACTCACTGGGACAGGAACCATGCATACCTATGGTGACATTCACAGTTGTTAATAATATAATATTGTACTTTGTATCTTTTGAAGATATGCAGTCATATGGTTGTAATTGAGGGACATTGATAACTGACCATTAGAAAGTTTGAGATATTAGCCATTGTTAATGAAATGTACACCTTTTCATATTTTCAGGAACTGTAAGTTTTACATTGGCAGCAAACCTTAGGAACATTAATGCTAAGAAAAACAGTCTTGACAAATGGACTTTTAAAAATCCAACTACAGATGTTTGGTCTAGTGATAAAAACATTTAGTTCAGACCTTCATGAAGAAATAGTCTAGGCATTTGTTTACAATGGATAACAGATTAAATTCCCTTTAGATAAAAAAGCCCCCGCTAAAGTAATAATGAAATATTATACAACATATTTGTGATGCTTAATGCTAGATTGGAGTTCTTCTAAATTATTCTGACAGCTGAAGTCTGAGGTTTCTCTCTTTGACAGTAACCATATTAGAAATATTAAATTCATTTTGTTGGCTTCATTGCACATCTGTCTACATTCTCTTGAGCACTTCATATTTTAAAGGTATGTTTGTCTTAATATGCAAAGTAAAATAACTGAATTAAAGATCAAATCTTCTATTTTGATAAATGAAGGGCAAGGCGTTTATTTAAAAAAAAAGAAATAGTAAGATATTCCATGGTTTTATATTCGGGTATCACATGACACACTTTTTGAAAACTGACTCCTTAGGTAAAATGTTCCAACCCAGTTAAAAAAAAATTCTCAAATGTTTCTCTTTAAATAAAATAACCAACTATAATATCTCTTTATGTAGCATTCACAAAGTTCAAGGTGGATTCTGGAAGCAGTGGCCCTTGCTCTTAGGCACTCAAAATCTATTGATGGAAATATTAGTAGACAAAGTTTCGGGGAAAGGAAACAATAGGCAATAGGTATACAAGATAATTTGATTCATCATTCAATTGAAATTGCTCTTCAAGAGGTACTTAAACGTAGAGAGGGTTGGAGCCTTGTGGATGAGCTAATGGAGGTAATACCATGCATGCATATGGTGCTGAGTGAGAGGGCACTGTGATGATTATGCAAGAAGCTAACGAATGGCTGAATGTGGATGACAATGCTGGTGGAGCTGTGGGTGGCAGGGTTTATGAAGAGGGTGATAAGAACTTTGAGAAAGGAGGATAAGTAGGGAGGCATAAAGTTATGCAGGCTTTAAAGGTGTAGAAAAGAAGCTTAAATTTGATGCAGTAAGGGATGGTGAGCCAGTGGACGTATTCAGAGATGGGACTGAAATGATCAAATCAATGAACAAAACAGAATACTTTAGTCTTAATCTTACTACTTGTGGTGCTAAATAGTGTGCATTCCAGATCATGATTTTTCTATTGTACTAAACTGAAAACTACTACTTTATGATCAAATAGCTTTTTGGAGGTTTATTTTGTTATCGTTGTGTATATAAGCAGCATTTTTGTATCATAGTGTGATGGTTGCCATCTTGACTAGTGTACCAAGGATTGAACCAGGGACCTTGACAGCTGAAAGCATGAATGTATACAGTTTGAGCTTTAAGAGCCAGGCTCTCAAACAGAGTTGTAACAGACCCATATTGCAATTGGTCACAAAGGGTGACATGGAACACACGCTGACTTGTGTGTTACAACAGCACAATGTTATGATGTGCATATCCATAAACTGAAATACTAATCATATGTCATCTTTAATAAACACAGACTTAATCGTATAATGATTTACGGTAATCCAAGACTCTTTATGCCCTGAGACTTTATTACTGTAAAGTGTTTTTGTGGCTGCTCATTAGCATATATTGTGCAAAGATGAAATAAGGTGTTCAGTAAAACGATGCAATTTTCAAGTAACAGATCACAAAGAATAGCTGAATATTTTGTATATGCTTTAATGGTTTATCCAGCACTACTTTCTCATTCTCTGCCTGTTCATTACTGAATTATATGGTTGCAATAATTTTTCCTCTCTAATGCATATCATTGGGAGTTGACACTTTTCTAGACTTGCAGATTTACAACTGACCGTATAAGCATATAAATCTAATATAGGTCAGTAAATTTCCTTTGTTAGAAGTTGAAAGGCGGAGTTGGGTGGTGTGTGTGGGAGCATCAAAATAAGGTAGTTTGAGAGATTGTGTTCAATAAAGCTCATATAAAAAAAACCGTCTACAGTGTCATACACAAAGATACAAGCAGTGTGCTTACGCGATGGCGCCGAGTAATAAACTGTTGGCTCTATGCTGCAGAATTATTTAGGACTATATAAGTTTAATGTCTGGCAATGAATTGCTTATTAGTCTTTTATGTTGAGTTGTACAGGAAATTACACACACACACACACACACACACACACACACACACACACACACACACACACAACTAA